TGTAACCCCGTTGTAGAAGGCCACCAAGTTTATCTGGCACGATTTGCACTTAGTGAAGCCATATAGTGTCACAGATCACCTCCTTATTTTCCATATGTGTTACATCATTACATGGAATGTGAAAAACACTGTTCTGTCACAGTACCATTTACATTTGAGTGGGATAATGAAATAAAGCTATGGGGAGCTGTGGGTATGAACACTGCATTTTAGAGAGTAAAATTTTGATTTTATTTTTGACTGTGGGTGGGTCTACGTTGACTATTTTTAAAATGGAAGGAACACCTTTTGATTTTGAACAAAATTAGTTTTGCACATATGTGGAAAGATGACCTACACAAAGGGTTCCTGGGCATATACTTTTAACGAATCCAATTCTGGTAAGAGAAAACTCCCTAAAAATTTGGTTTTGAGCCTTTTCAAAAGTTTGGAAACGTTAACAGAATATATACTACAAATTGTATTCCAAAGTGAAGAAAGTGCCTTGCGCATGCCTCTGTTCATAGGTTTTGCAAACACTAATGCGAAATTGAAATGAGAAGCAGTTTCAATATTGCCAATGAAAAACTTTTTCGGCAACAGTTAGTTGTTGAGCTGTCAGAAGACATTGTGATCCTGCTCTATTGGCTTGGAGTTTCGCGAGCAGTTACTGCTGGTAATAGAAGGGAATGGTCTTTGTCTTCCCTGCAACATCTTTGGGGAGGCTAAAGCATAAGTGTGTTCCCCAGCCCTCCCTTTCTTTACTGCAACACAAAATTACCACTTTTATAAAGTAGGGTCAATCAGGGTTACTCTGACGTAGATAGAGGTGGGCAGTCTAGGGTATCTTCTTAAGATCTTAGTTGCTGTGACTAAAAATATCAAAAAGCAAGAAAAAATGAACCAGTTCATATTTAAACTGTTATGTAGAGTATCTCTTTTTCCCTGTGAACGTGACCGGGACTTAAACTTTAAGATTTATCTGAAGAAGTTTAGATTAAACAAGTTTATGATAGTTGGAGGAAGCAATCTAAGAATGGTATCAGTGTCCTTGATAAAAGGGTAGCATTGAGGGTTTCTTAGGCAAATTCAGAACTGAGAGTATTTTTAGTGACCATGTTGTTTTGTGTGTCCCAGTAGTATTTGTCCGAAAGTTTGATCACTGTACCTGAAGTGGAGATGTTTCTTTTAGAGGAAGCTGACTATAATTATCTATACATGTTGTTGTCTTGGACACAGTGTAATCTACATACAAAGCTATACTGTGAAATCATCTGAAAAGAGAGTGAACTGCAACACTGTTGTTCTTTACTGCAGGCACTGTCTAATCTCTCTTCAGTTGAGCGTTCAGTAGAATCTGGGCTTTTTCCTTGACATTAGATTTATAAATAGTTGAAGATTAGACTACCTGAAAACCGCTTTATGTCCAAGCATGATACAGTAGTGTTTTGATTAGGAGAGGTGATTGGGCTGATGCTTTTTGATTATGAAATCTTGTTGTGTTACTATGTGTATAGTTTTACTAGTTTTCAAAAGAAATCTGCATTTTTTTTCGAAATAAGAATCTTCAATTGGAAACCACTTTTTCATTATAAAACTTTACATAAAAAAAAGATCCTGCATATTTTTTCTTTAGATACAGACTTTAAATACATAGACAATGTATTTTCCAAGTTATTAAAAAATATGCTCCTTTACGATACAGTAGCTCAATGAAGAACGGTAACGTTTTGTGCCTTCTCATTAGAATGGGTTTATAATGTGTACCCTTGGAGCCTTAACTAGACCAGTGCAGATTCCTGCCCTGACAAGTTTTGTCGTCTTTTAACTTTGGCCATTTCAGTTTATTGCCATTAAAGCCCTATCTGGCCCATTATAGCCAATTTTAAAATTGTGATTCTGGATTGAGGAACATGGGCTGGGGGGGCAACACTCTGGTTTGCTATAGCTGTGCGGCGTTTGAATGCGTGTTCCTTCTGGTTACTGGATCACCTCCTCCACTAAACCAGATTTTGATTGGTTTTGTTCTTCCCAGCAATCAACGTATGTATGAATTTAAGCTCCAAATATTGTTCGTTACCTGGATACTCATTCTCTAATATACTGGTCCTTGGTGGCTGAATGTTGACGTACCCTACCATGTCACTCAGGTTATTTTCTGAAGACTGGCAGGTTGGTCAACCTGCAGCTTCACTTCTGTTACTGCAGTCTGTATCTTCTCTCCCATACCTTTTTCTCTTGTTCTGTTGCATTTCCCTCATTCTTCATCTGGCTCCCTTAACCCAAATTTGTCTCATTTTTGCTGCTTTTTCTCCCATTCTTGATTTTTTCCTTCTTCAAATTGCTTGCCTTATTCCGTCAATGTGATTCATGGAGCCTTGTGAACCTTCCATGCAGTGCCGAATGGGGAACCTAGGTCTCATGCAGACATGAAGCACTTGCTGAATACCTAATAGTTATTGTTAATCTAGAGATTTATTTTTTTTTTTCTTCCTGGTTTTGATAGGGGAATGTTAACTTTTCTGTCTGTTCTTTGATCAATAAGAGCAATGAAAATTGCCTTCGCAGTCTAGCCTCAAATGTTCAATTATCAGTTTACAATTTAAATTAACCCTTTCTTTCTTTCTTTCATTTTAAGCACAACCTCAACGTTTGCCTCAGCCGAATACTTCAGCACTGGAAAGAGGTGAGGAAGAAACTGGCAAAATCCAAAACGGCCATGTGGGTCTGAGTAATGGAAGTGGAATTCACAACGGAGTCAAGCATGCACCTGCAGACAACAGAAAACTTTCGGCTCCTGTTTCAGAAAAAATGCACAGAAAAATTCAGTCCACCTTGTCTGTCAACAGCAACAGCAGCAAGAAGAGTAAAATAAGCTCTGCGTTTTCTCAAAAGCCAGGTACTTCACCTGAAGGTAAGCAGAAATTCTTATTAAAAAACCCCAAACTGAATAAAGACTAGCAAAACCCCATTCTCGCTAATAATTACACAATCAACTGAAAATAATTGAAGAGCATGACTCATGCTCCAGAAGCAAATAGAAATCATTATGATAAAACACAAGTTACTTCCCCAAAGGAAAATATTAAGTATTTGAAGGAAATTGAAGCAATGGGAGATTTCTTGCTTTCAAACATTTGGCCAACATAGTCTGATAATGTTTTAGTCTCTCTAGTTAGTATCTTGAACTGACAGAAACTTCTGTCAACATTGTCACATATACACTAGAAAAAAAAAAATATTAAAGCACTAGTTCAAAGCATAGTAAATACTTAAATCCAGTAATGGCAGGCTCCATGAGGGTAGAGTTTGCTTTTGAAAATGTTCTGTTACCAGAAATTCTGACTAGCCGTGAGGTATGAACACTAGATAATAAAATTTGGGCCTGTGCTTCAGTGTTTAATGTGCCTTATGCTGTATTTGGGCTGTAAATAATTTGCATGAAAAAGCTTCATACTCCCTATGCACAGCTTAAATAAGCAAAAGTAAATAATTTCCCTGACGTTTTAGCTCTGTGTGAGTGTTTTCACTGCTTGCAATTACTCTAAAGGTCCCAGAGTTCCTGAGCCTCACCTCAATCCATTGCCTTCCCATTAGCACTAATACACTTGATGGGCTTTGCTCCCGCCCGTTACAAGAAGGGTGCAGAGGCTTTAGAAATTTTATTGGTTTGAGGCAGGATAGATGCGGCAGATTAAAAAAAAACCAAACCACTGGGTGGTGGGTACAGACACAGGTTCTTAGAGAAATGGGGAACGGTACTGTTCAGTGAAATGAGGGGGGTTCTCAGCCTAGATGAAAGGAAGAGGGATCAGAAGGACTGCACGTAGTGGCCTCAATGAAGCCTGCTGATGTCAGTGGAGTGACTTCTCTTGACTTCAGCTACTTCAGTCAAACCTACTGAGTGAATTTGTGTAGTAATACCATGAATAGCTCCTCTCATACTCTGCCATGGACTGGTCCCCCTTGCTGTGGTTTATTTTCGTATTTATCTTCAAGAACCTACTGTTATTTTTCTGTTGCACTTTCAGTTCTCTAACATTTCTTTCCAAAATCACAACTTCATACTTGCTATATTCCCCTTATCTCTTTCTGTTGTGTGAAATCCAGTTCACCCTCCAGCCCAATATTTCTCTTATGTATCAACACACAGTAGATTGAGACCTAGATCTGTTCGCATGACTGGTACAAAGCGCAGGCCTCTGAATTTAGGAAATTCAAGCTCTGAAAAAGAAATTATGGAGTTCTAAAGAGATGGTGCCTGTCCTATTCATGCCCTTATACAATTATTTATGGCAAGCACTTCATTTTTTCTTCTAAAATTATATTGGAATAAATACAGTCAGTGGGTTTTTTGTTTGTTTTTAATAACCTTGGATATAGCTGTAAGTTCTGATGTCTGTTTTTAATATCCAAGACATGATTGTGTTAGTTGCCTGAAACTGCCAATATACATTTTTTTATATAAAGTCAGAAATGTTGATTTTTTTTTTAAAGGTATGTTTGATTAGAATATAGATAATTACATTGTGTTGTCACACTGTCTAGCTCATATAGCTTGACCCACACTGCTAATACCTGCTGCTCTAAGTTTTCTGTTAACCAGTCTGAGTGAAGCACAAGTTTATTGTGCAATGATTAAAGTATATCACGGTATTTGTGTCTACACGTCTACATGCACACATGTACAAGCCTTCTGACAGTTTCTTCAGCTTTTCAGTAATTTACCCTAACTATAGGCTATAAGTAATATTCTTATCAAGTTGTTACCTTGCAGGAAGTATAATTTGTTCTATCATCCATCAGTTTTTTGATAAGATACATAATCAGAGACTCTGGCAATGGTCAGCTGAAATACCTAAAATAACACAAAGAAGAGATGGCTATTTAAGGAAAAATGATTTATCCCTAACTTAAAAATAATTGTGTTCATGAATTTAAGAAATCTTAATCCCTTACGACTATTTTTAGAAGGCTACACTTAAAAAGCTTGATATAATTAGTCAGGTTATTTGTTCAAAGGAGTTTAATTGCATTTAAACCATCAATATATACTTGATGAATACATCTCACTGTACAAAACCGGAGGAGTGCACTAGTAAGTCCTGTGACTGAGGATTGCATAGACGCTCTTTCAAAATGGTATACACAAATTAATTTGAATCTAACTTCTACAGCTTCTTTGTATTATGAATCATACTATTGTTGGCAAAGAGGTATTCTTCTGAGCAGTTGTTTCTTCTGATCCAATGACATTTCTGTAGAAACTACTGAAAAGCTTTACAGTAAGATGGAAAATATAGGAAACTATTGGAAATTATTTGCAACATTGCTTAACTGCTTGGCTTTGCTTTAACTTGTACCATGTTAACCTCATAAGCCATTGGTTACTGCTGAAGAACTGCTGCGTTTGAGTTTACTTGAAGGTGTGCATTTGTGTTTGTACACTTCTATACAGTGTAATAATATAATTTCTATGCAGTTTTTTTATGTAATCTTATGTAGAAAGAGACAAAATATATTAATTTTTGTACTGTGAGTATTGAATAATCAATCACCTGAATTAACACAGCTCCTGCAATTTACTATCATGTCCAGATAACTTCAGTAGAGAGAATGCTTTCAGATATTCCAATTTACTTTAATTTTGCTATTCCTTATGTACGACCTTGGATTTTATAATGTAATTTATAGTGATTATTTTTTTTAAACCTGAAAATACATGACACCTATTTTTACTTCATCTGCCTTGTGTTCCAACTTGAGTGCTCTACTCTGTTGCCAGTCAGGAGAATAACTGGTTTTGTTAAGTGAAACAAAGTGGCCACACAAAAGAAATAGAGTATGTCCTCAGAGGGAAGAAAAGTGAAAATTCTGGTTATCAAGTTGAGTTTAGGCTATAGGAAAGAGAAAATATTTTTCACTCTTTCTTATTCCTTCCCAAAAGCGGCATTCTTCTTGTATCTTCTTAAAAGACAAGATATGAATATTTCTGGAGCACCACACCTGTTTGTAATGCAAAATAAGTCCAGCTCTAGTAGTTATTTTGCTCTAGAACATCTTATCTATTGACAGAACAGAAAACCTGGTAGTGCTTGAAGCAGGGTAGAATCAAGAAACATCCAGATTTGCCACCTATCCTGCACGGGAGCATATTTGGGCTTGGGCTTATTTAAAAGGCTAGCAAATGCAGCATGCTGTGTCATATCCTGCAGACTTCACTACATATACCAGAAAGCTAAATGAAGGCCAGTGTTATTTTGCCCAGGATATCACATCTTCCCATAAAGAAGGTCAGTACTGCTCCTGTTGGTCTCCAAAGTACTAGACAGCCCTAACACAAGCTATAAAGCCCCCCCACCCCCCACTCCACCAAAATTCCCCCACCATAGGTAAAAACTCTTTTATTAATTGTTCCAGCCGCAAACTCCACTTGTGCTGTAGATCGCATCTTGTGAGCTTTCGGCATTGAAGTTGCGTTGGAAGTGCTTAAAATGTAACAGACATTTTGGTAGTGGTAGCATAAAAGCTTTAAAATCTGCCTTTTGAAACGAGCTTGGAGTGTATGGAGTCACATTGGCACTCCAGAATATGCTGTTTAGAAACACTTTCACATCCAGTGAGGCTTAGGAGGGTGTGAGTGCACTCACCAGCTCTGCTCTTCCTCTGCATCTATTATTAATCCATATTGTCCCTGAAGAAATCTTACTCAGCCCCATAACTTACCCTACAAGAAAACAAAGGAATTAGGAAATCGTAGGAGTGTCTCTCTTAAAAAGCAGTTTTTAAACACTATTTCAGTTCTAAAGATTTTTCACAAGGACTGAATAGGTTTCAGCACATATTGGGAGGAAGAGGTTTTTTTAGTCAAAGAAATTTTAATAATATTTTAAATTATTGATGTCAGAGGTGTCACAGTTCCTCCAAAACTCTGGTCGGTAGACCACTTGCAAAGAGAATTGTCACTCTCTTGCACCTGTCGTGTACTGCAGAGAAACACCTTGGAAACCTGAAAAAAGCAATTGTAAATGAGTAAAAAGAAGGCAATCTAGCTGCTGTGTTTGGAAGCAGAGATACCTGTCCAAAGCGACTTAAAGAAGGGAGGAGATCTAAAGGAGACAGCAAAGAGGCTGCTGAACAGTAAATCTAGATGTTAGGAAATGAAGAAAAACAGGTAACTGAATACTTACATATGTGTATCAGACTAGTGGAAGGTAAGTAATAACGATATACCCAGGGTTGGAGGAGGAAAGGGAAAAAGAAAGTGGGCAATGGGAGGGATGGAAGATAATTAAGGGGGTGGAGGCGGCAAAATGAAGTAGGCACTAATTATTTTGTAAAGTCCAAACAAAGTTTTCCTACCAAAACCTTATGAAGCTTGATGTTATGCATTTTTTAAAGTAAAGCAATTGTTTATAAAGAGTTAATGATGGAGAGAGGGAATACAAGTTTTAATTCGGTTTTGAAATGGAACTCTTGTTTGTGGTCAAGTTGCCATGACCTTGCAAGTTACTACGTTTGTCAGGGTAGTTCCCACAACTCCAATAACTTGTGATAATTTCAGTTTAGGGTGATACTTCACCTACTCAAAAGGCTGAGAGCATGCACAATTGCTGTATACATCTGGAAATGGTAGCTTGTTAAACTATGGTGAGTGGATCCTGAACCTCCCTCCTGTATGTACAGTGAGATCTTCACTTTATTCCTTCCCAGGCTCTCAAAACCAGAGAGGCACTAGAAGGCATCTTCTTTCCAAGGATTTTTTTCAAGATAGGTCTTAGGTAGTGTAATAAGTCTAGATGCAGGAGTGAGGTAGATAAAGAAGGCCTGCGGCACGGGGTGAGGCTCTGGGGAGAGGCAGGCAATGTTGTAGGCTTGCTGCCAGATTTAAGTTACCACTCATGGTTTTCCAGG